CCCCCCGCCGCCTTCAGGTACAAGCTCTCCCTCTTCTGCGAGGACAGATCTGCACGTCCCGTCCCCCCCAGTAGCTAGCAATCCAAAACAGTCCAGTGGAGCCTGAGAGGTGGGTGTTGCTTTCTGACACACTTCCGGTGATGTCATGGGGGTGTGGCACATGCAAATAAGTTATGTTAACGAGCTCCTGCACCTCTTTTTCTACAAAATGACCCCAGGTGGAGCCAATCCAACTTATGCTGGATCGTCTGCTTTTCCTGATGCCTTCAGCTTTCCTAGCATTATTGTCTTTTCCAGTGAGCCTTTTCTTAGTGTGTAGTGAGTTCAGAACGCTTCAGATCTGTCATCTCGCAATTACAAATTCTGGTGGGGAAGCCATGCTAGACTCCTGCAGCAAGCACAAAATGGGACTTTGGACATCTGAAAGCAGAAGTCCCTAGTCCTTTTGAGCCTGTGGGCACGTCTGGAATTTTGAGAGGGGGTAGTGAGCGCCACCCACAAAAGGTGGAGGCAAAACCCAAAATGGCTGCCTCAGGAGGCGGAGCCAAATGGAATACCACATTCCTCACACCTCCTGCGAGGGAGGAGATCCTGAAGGGGGAAATAAACTAAGAACTGCCCAGACGCCTGCCAGTTTTCCTCGTCTTCTGGTGGAAAGCCCTTTCATTTGAATGAGGTAAACCAATAACAAAGCCCTGCCTTTACGATGGCCCTGCCCACTTTCTGAAAATCTCAGTGGGCATGATAAAGGAATGTTCTGGCAAGGTGACACACGGCACCCACAGATACCGCACTGGGGAGCCTTGTCTTAAAGAGGAGGAGGAGACGAGATTGGATTTGCACCCCGCCCTTCAGAGCGTCTTACAAACTCCTTTCCCTTCCCCTCCCCACAACAGACACCCTGTGAGGTAAGAGAAGAAGAAGAAGAGATTGGATTTATACCCCGCCCTTCACTACCCAAAGGAGTCTCAGAGCGGCTTACAAACTCCCTTCCCTTCCCCTCCCCACAACAGACATCCTGTGAGGTGGGTGGGGCTGAGAGAGCTCTGACAGAAACTGCTCTTTTTTCAAGAACAGCCCTTATCAGAACTACGGCTTGCCCTAGGTCATCCAGCCAGGTGCGAGTGGAGGAGTGGGGAATCAAACCCGGTTCTCCCAGATTAGAGTCCGCGCACTTAACCGCTACACCAAACTGGACTAACCGTAGCACCAGTTTCTGTGGGCTGGCTAGATCCAAGCCTGGTGGCACCCCAGAAATCAACCAGATGTTCAGGGTACGAGCTTTCGAGAGCCAAAGCTCCCTTCCTCAGATACTTTGACACGAAAAAGTTTATACCCTGAAAACCTTGTCGGTCTCTGAGGCGTTACTGGACTCGAATCTGGCTCTTCCACTGCAGACCAACACGGTCCCCCTCTGAAACGATCGTCTGTGGGCTGGTTAGTACATAGGGTTCCCGTTTCCCAGGTGAGGGCGGGGAATCCGCCGCCCCCCCCCCCCGCCCAATGCCGTTGCTGCGACAAGCTGATGTCACCCAGAAGTGACGTCAGCGTGGTGGTGATGTCAGGGGGAGGGGCGACACTCTGCTTTTTGGGCAAAAACTCTATGATCTGAGGCCATTTTTACCACAGAGTTTGCCTAAAAAGCAGAGTGTCGCCTCCAACGTGCTGATATCACTTCCGGGTGAGGCCAGCGCATGGCACAGTCCCCCCCCCAACCCCTGGAACACCCCCCCCAAATCCCCCTACTGGCATGATGAGGGGACCTGGCAACGCTGTTAGTATACCTGTGAAGTGGGTCACAGCCAGTGACAGTAAATGTGTGTCTTTATGGTGCCTCCAAACTTCTTTTTTTATACATTATTGCTGTAACCACCACAATCCGCTTGCGCTTTTAGGCCAAATGGATCTGGGAGTGGTTTTTCTAAGTGCCCTAGTGAATTCACAGCGGAAGCAAGACTTTAACCGAGGGTCGGGGTGGGAGACCAGGTTTCCTGCTCGGCCGCTAGGCTACAGTCACTGTCCATGTCTCCTTGAGAGGAAACCACAGAAAATCAATAAAGGATGGCATGAAGAAAGAACTGCTATCTGCAGAAAAACCAGCGCGCAGTTCTGAAGCAGTTTTCAGAAGTTCCTCCACACAAGAAACAACGGAAGGGGCAGGCGGATGGAGAGGAACGGAAGAGAGCAGCAGGAACTAACGCTGTTCCCCCAGCCGAAAGGAAGGTGAACACCAGGGCAAAGAACGGCTTCCGTTATGCAGAGCTGACTTTGGTTTAGGAACTCCAGCCTCCAGCTTGTTTTCAAATGGAGTTGATAGTCCTTAACAAACTTAACCTACACTTTTTAACTTCCGTGCTGCGTGGCTCGGGAGTCCCCAAACCTTTTTGAGCCTGTGGGCACATTGGGAATTCTGACAGGACACGGTGGGCGCAGCAACAAAATGGCTGCCACAGGTAGCGGAGCCGGCCACAAAATGGCTGCCACACAATGGCTGCCCCAAGTAGCTGAGTCAGTCACAAAATGGCTGCCACATAGTGGCTGCCACACAGTGGCTGTCCCAGGTAGCTCAGCTGGCCACATAATGGCTGCCACAAGTAGCGGAGCCGGCCACAAAATGGCTGCCCCAAGTAGCTGAGTCGGTCACAAAATGGCTGCCACATAGTGGCTGCCACACAGTGGCTGTCCCAGGTAGCTCAGCTGGCCACATAATGGCTGCCACACAATGGCTGCCACAGGTAGCGGAGCCAGCCAAAAAATGGCTGCCACACAATGGCTGCCACAGGTAGCGGAGCTGGCCACAAAATGGCTGCCACACAATGGCGGCCCCAGGTAGCTGAGCTGGCCGCAAAATGGCTGCCGCAGCTTAATTTCAGTCACACAGTGCAGATCCTTGTGCTGTGAGGGCAGCAGCTGCCAAAGCGGTATTTTAAAAAAATATGCACAGCCAACCAAATCTCCAATGGTCAGTCAGAGGTCTTGCTGAACAAAAACTACCTGGCCCTGCCCACTTCCTTAAAAACACTTGGCAGCCAGCAGAAAAGGCCACAGTGCCCAGGGGCACTAAAATTCCTACAAACGGAGGAATTTTATAAGTTTGTGAGCTCTACAGTTACACAAGGGTAATGTCGTTCCTTATAAGGCTTTTCAAGGGGGATGGCGGACAGGCTCCAAGCTTTTTGACCACCACCACCCCGCCCCTGATAAAGCAATGCTTTAGTAAAGTCGCACCAACTTCTATTGATTTGTGCAATCAGAAGATGACACAATGCACAGGTAGGGGGGGGGAAAGGCAGGCACTGCACGTCTTTGCAAAGGGCGAGTCGTTGACCTCAAACAGCCCCTTGAGACAGGGGTGTTTGACCGCCCTGAACATTCCAGCACAAGGAGTTAATTGGGGGGGGGGAGAAAAGGGGGGGCAAGCCAATGCAAGCCAAAGTATCTCTGGAACGGGTGAAATGGAATTGCATAAAGATCATGCGCGAGGCAACAAAAGGTGGCTCCTATGGACTGAGCCATGACTTCCTACGGTCCAGGCCTGGTGCATAATTGCCGCTAGAACGGGTATCCGACAAACACATGCGCTAGGCACAAACGGTTCAGCTCTCTCCTTCTAGGGTAGTCTCCTAACCACAGCAGGTCGGGGCAGGAGAAGAGATGCCAGGTCCATTCCCTTGGCACCTTCAGTTCAAGGATCCTGGGGTGGTGGGCAGGGCTCCCTCTAAGCTGTGGAGTCTTGTGAGCAAAAATTCAACTTTGTGAGCTGCTGGCATTAAAGTTGTGAGCGAGCGATTTGGCTACTGCATAAATCAATTTGCTCTGGAGCCATCCTTTTTGAGCCAAGACAAAAATGTGTGAGCCAGAGGCTAAAAAAACTGTGGGCTAGCTCACACTAACTCAGCTTAGAGGGAACACTAGTGGTGGGCAGTGTTCCCTCTAAGCTGAGTTAGTGTGAGCTGGCTCACAGTTTTTTAGCCTCCAGCTCACACATTTTCGTCTTGGCTCAGGAAGGGTGGCTCCGGAGCAGACTAACGGATGCAGCAGCCTAATGGCTCGCTCACAACTTTAATGCCAGCAGCTCACAAAGTTGAATTTTTGCTCACAAGACTCCACAGCTTAGAGGGCCACTGCACCAGTGAGAGGCAGCAATACTGCAGTAGATGGACTCACTCAAAGCTTTATAATATATTCAGAGCTTTGTATATTCAATCAGCTGGTCTTGCTGCTGGAGGAGGGGGGACCATGGCTCAGTGGCAGAGCCTCTGCTCGGCATACAGAAGGTCCCAGGTTCAATCCCCGGCATATCCAGTTGCACAGGTAGGAGGCGACATGAAAGACCTCTTCTGCCCAAGACCCTGGAGAGCGGTTTCCAGTCTCAATAGACTAATACTGACTTTGATGAACCACAGGTCTCAGGTGGAGACTTTTCACATCATCTCCTCCCTGATCCTTTCGACTGGAGATGCTGGGGATTGAACCTGGGACCTTCTGCATGCCGAGCAGATGCTCTACCTCTGAGCCACGGCCCTTCCCTAATAAATATGAAAACTGAAAGCTGCCTTATACTGAAGTCAGACCTTTGGTCTATCAAGGTCAGTGTCATTAACCTACTGTCTGGTCCTTTCAATGGAGATGCCGGGGATTGAACCTGGGACCTTCTCCATGCCGAGCAGATGCTCTACCACTGAACCATGGTCTCAATCCTCTTCATTCTACTATTGTCTGTCTCTACCCTATGGGAGAACATAGTCTGGACAGACTACAGCATTGGCTGTTGGGCCAATACTCCCCAAAATCTATCAAGCAGGTTGAGGGCCATGAAGAGGATGGGGAGGGGGCCATGGCTCAGTGGTACAGCATCTGCTCAGCATGCAGAAGGTCGCAGGTTCAATCCCCGGCGTCTCCAGTTGAAGGATAAGGTAGGAGATGACGGGGGAAACCTCCACCAGAGACCCTGGAGAGCGGCTGCCAGTCTGAGTAGACAATACTGACTCAGGGCTCTTTTTGTAGAAAAAGCCCAGCAGGAACTCATTAGCATAATAGGCCACACCCAACAGCAAGAACCCATTAGCACATTGGGCCACACCCCTGACAGCACAGCTCATTAGCATACTAGGCCGCACCCCCATGTTACCAGAAGTGTGGTCATCCAGCCACACCCACCTTTTGCTTCTTATTCTGTTTACCTTGTTTGTTGTCCAAACCCAGGGCTTTTTTTGTAGCAGGAACTCCTTTGCATGTTAGGCCACACACCCCTAATGTAGCCAATCCTAATGAGTGTCTGCTGTTGGGTGTGGCCTATTATGCTAATGAGTTTCTGCTGGGCGTGGCCAACTTGGGAGCCAGCCGGAACTCCGTTCCTGTGCGTTCCTGCCCAAAAATAGCCCTGCTGACCTTGATGGACCGAGGGTCTGATAAGGCAGCTTTATACGTGTCTGTGTGACCGTGAGCTTCTTGTCCAGCGGCCCCCAGAAGCTGAGCTGCAGGGCTTGTCTACAACAATAACCCCCCCAACACACATATTTTAGAAACAGGGACTTACATTGTTCTTCTGCCTCTGCTGCTCCACGGCCTGCTGCATGGTGCTCAGCTCCTCCTGGAGGCCGGCGATCTCTCGCTTCTTTCCCTGTAATGCAGAAGAAGCAAGAAAGTCACAGGACGCCGGGCGCTGACAAACCCTTCCTCCAAACTGCAAGCTTTCCCCCAGAAAAGGCTGCAGAGGTTCTGGGGTTTAGCTGCCCTCCGTCACCACCCGTGGGTTGTCTTTCGCAACCCGTGGGTTGCCTGTTTGCGCAACGCCCGCATTCCTCTCTGTTAGGACGAAGATGCCTCTTTGAAAGCTCTGTTTCAGATTTCTGCTTGTCTTCTGGTTTCTGTAATCCAGATTCTGCCATCCGAACGCTCTTGCACTGTTTTACTGGATGTTGCACACTGCTGATTGCATTTGGCTTATTTATAATCTGCCAAGGCAGAACCTACGCTCCCTATTGAGCTGTGGAGTCCTGGGAGCCAAAATTCGACTTCGTGAGCTCCTGGCATTAAAGCTGTGAACCAGCGATTTGGCTGCTGCATCAATCAGTTTGCTCTGGAGCCCTCCTTCCGGAGCGAAGGCAAAAGCGTGTCAGCCGGAGGCTAAAAAAACTGTGAGCTAGCTCACACTCACTCAGCTTAGAGGGAACAGTTTTCACAGGGTGTCTGTTGTGGGGAGGGGAAGGGAAGGGAAAGGAGATTGTAAGCCACTCTGTGACTCCATTGGGTAGTTGCCTCGGAGCGGCTTGCAATCTTCTTTCCCTTCCCCTCTCCACAACAGACATCCTGTGAGAAATGCTCCCTCTACACTGTGGAGTCCTGAGAGCAAAAATTCCACTTTGTGAGCTCCTGGCAATAAAGTTGTGAGCGAGCAATTTGGCTGAAGCATAACTTAGTTTGCTCCGGAGCCATCCTTCCTGAACTGAGACAAAAAATGTGAGAGCCGGAGGCTAAAGAACCGTGAGCTGGCTCACACTAACTCAGCCTAGAGGGAACACTGCTTGGGACTCAAAGCGGCTTAGAGCACTGTTCTCCCCACCTCCATTTTTGCACCACAACAACCCCCTGAGGTAGGCCAGGCCGAGAGTTTGTGACTCGTGGGCACTCAGTGAAATTGCTGAGCGGTCGGGTTAGAATGGATAAAAGGAAGTCCTTCTTCACCCAAAGAGTGATTAACACTTGGAATTCACTGCCAGAGGAGGTGGCGGTGGCTACAAGCATGGACAGCTTCAAAAGGGAATTAGATAAGCATATGGAGCAGAGGTCCATCAGTGGCTCTTAGCCACAAGGTATAGATAGGGGCTCTGGGGCAAGGGATGCTCTGTCTTCTTGGTGCTTGGGGGGGGCACAGTGGGAGGGCTTCTAATGTCCTGGCCCCACTGGTGGACCTCCTGATGGCACCTGGTATTTCTGGCCACTGTGTGACACAGAGTGTTGGACTGGATGGGCCTTTGGCCTGATCCAACATTGGTGTCTCTTATGTTCTTATGACAGGTCCAAAGGTCACCCATGGGCCACTTAGGGGTCTAAGTCTGACCCTCTGTCCTCTACACCACGCTGGCTCTCAAAGCTTGCCCTGTTCAAGAGGCAGGCTTCATTCCAGCTGCCAGTTTGGTGTAGTGGTTAAGTGCGCGGACTCTAATCTGCGAGAATCGGGTTTGATTCCACCACTCCTCCACTTGCACCTGGCTGGATGACCTTGGGCAAGCTGTAGTTCTGATAAGAGCTGTCCTTGAAAAAGAGCAGTTTCTGTCAGAGCTCCCTCAGCCCCGCCTGCCTCACAGGGTGTCTGTTGTGGGGAGGGGAAGGGAAAGGACTTTGTAAGCCTCTCTGAGACACCTTTGGGTAGTGAAGGGCGGGGTATAAATCCAATCTCTTCTTCTTCTATCATTAATCTGGAAGGTTTTATCCCTGTCTGTTTCCACTGCACTAGATTCGTTCAACAGTGTGGACAGAAGCACAGCTGTGCTCCGCCACTCCTCATTCCCACCTCCGTGAATAGCCTCAATACATCCTCCTGCAAATGGCTCCAGGCTTGTAAGAGGTGCAACGTTGCATTCTGGGACTTAGTTCCAGCTGCACTGCTGATGTCCGTCAGTGGCTATGAGCCACAAGGTTTAGATAGGAACTCTCAGTCTGGGGCAAGGGATGCTCTGTATTCTTGGTGCTGGGGTGGGGGGCAACAGTGGGAGGGCTTCTAGTCTCCTGGCCCCACTGCTGGACCTCCTGATGGCACCTGGTATTTCTGGCCACTGTGTGACACAGAGTGTTGGACTGGGTTGGCCACTGGCCTGATCCAACATTGGCTTCTCTTATGCTGTTATGTAAGGCTAATAGCTGGGAGGGAGACCGTGCATGTTATAACTTCCACTCCCCCACAACAAGAATGATTGTTTCTCCTGCTCAATTCACATCATCTGACCCAAAAAACTTGTTGGCTCTGTCGCTACCAGACTTGAATCTTGCCGGTTTGGTGTAGTGGTTAAGAGCGGTGGACTCGGATCTGGAGAACCAGGTTTGGTTCCCCACTGCTCCTCCACATGCAGCCAGCTGGGTGACCTTGGGTGAGTCACAAGTTCTCTCAGAGCTGTTCTCTCACGAGCAGTCCTCGAAAGAGCTCTCTCAGCCCCACCTGCCTCACAGGGTGTCTGTTGTGGGGAGAGGAAGGGAGAGGAGATCGTAAGCCGCTCTGAGGCTCCTTCGGGTAGTGAAGGGCGGGGTATAAATCCAATCTCCTCCTCTTCTTTCTCTCCTGCTGTGGATCAACACGGCTACCCTCTTGAAATCATATCATGTGACATGTGGGACAACTGTTCTGGCCAATAAATGCTCCACTGCAAAGGACGTAACCAAAAACGGAGTCATGCAGCCAATACTTACAGCTGCAGGAGCTGGTCGTTCTTGCTCGCCAGTGACTCCTGAAAGAGAGCATCACAACAGAAGTGGGGAAGAGACTCAGAAATGCCGATTCTCAGCCGATAAAGGCTCATAGGGTAGTTTTTGGAACGTTACCGCCTGCCAGCTTCCTGTCTTACAAGACTGCTGTTAAGAAACGCTGAGAATGGAGGTTCCTCCCAACCAGGCCCGTAGCTACGGTGGGGCATTTCGGGGCTTGGCCCCCCTGACTTCCTGCCAAGGCCCCAGGCCCCACAACTCTCTGGGCCACCCAGAGGACTCCCCACCGCCGCCCGTTCCCCAAGCGCAGCTTGCTTCCCCACATGGGTATGGGTGGAAACTCAAGCTGCGGTGTTAGAAGATTCAAACAACAAATATATGCACTGCAAAAACCTTATTTATAAGTTAAAGTGGTTTATATGTTCCATCTTATAAAGTGCATTGTGTATTATTCATAATATTCTAAAGCAGGTATATATTCATTACATGCAATATCAACAATAATAATCAGTTTGTACAATCTAATAGCTACTAGTCAATTTACATCCTTTTTACACCATCAACCCCAATGGGAATTTCTAGAGTTGTACACCCGCTTCTCCTTGCTTGAAAGTCTTCTAAAGGGGGAAGTTTCCTTTTGTGGTTACATTGACGTTTAAATTGATGTTTGTTGCTGGTCCTACAAAAGGCCCATTAAGCAGCTGACAATCATAGGTTGTCTTTCTCAAGGTTTTTTGCAGGGTATATATTTGTTGTTTGACTCCCCGCGTAGGTAAGCAGACTGCAAACGCTACAAAAGTGAGTTTTAAAATTTTTTAAATTCATTTTGCCCCCCCCCCCCCCGACTTATTTAAAGGCCACCCCCAAATTACAAAATCCTGGCTACGGCCCTGCTTCCAACCCTATGATTCTATCATGTGGGCAAGGTAATACGGTACTCGTTTACCTTTCTTCCTCTGTGGCATTCAAAGTGCCACACGCAAGGGAATTGGCACTGACGAGACCAGAAGTCCCCAACGTGGTGCCCCTGGGCACCACAGTCCCCACCAACACCTTTTCTGCTGCCCTTCAACTGTGTTGTTGTTGTTTTAAACAAAGTGGGCAGGGCCAGGTGGGACTCTGGCCCAGCAAGGCTTCTGATTGGCCACTGAAGATCCAAACGGCCGTGCAGATTTCCCCCCAAACGTTGCTTTGGAAGCATCTGCCACCGCAGCACGAGGCTCTTCTCCATGTGGCTGAAGGGAAGCGGCTTCCTCTTCTTCCTGCGGCATCCATTTTTGAGGCTGCGCCCACCATGCTGTGGCAGAACTCCAAAGGTGCCCATGGACTCAAAAACGTTGGGGAGCCCTGGACTCAACCCAGCCCGGCTGACCTTCAGGGAGACAGCCGTATCACATGCCCTCCGTCCCTGCGAGCACACGGGATTGATTTATTTATTTGATTTATAGACCACCCTCTGGTTCTTGTTCTCATAAAGGCAGAAGGCTGGCTGACCCAAGAGCCTGCTGCCTCCTCCTAGAGTCCTTCCCTCCCGGCCGGAGCCAATCAGACAGAGGCCGGTTGCAGCTGTCGTCGCACAGTCGCGGACTATGGAACCAACCCAGAAGGAGCTGCTGCGGAGCCGCGCCGAGATAGAACCCACCACGAAGCCGCAGGGAGAAGAAAGAACAAGCTGGCAGGGTGCCTGGTAGGCACTCACCTCCCCTATATACATTGTGGCCCTAGATAGGAAGTATAATATATGCCTATGTAAACCGCTCAGAGCCTCCGGGATTGAGCGGTATAGAAATTGAATAAATAAATAATAAATAAATAAATAACAGGCAAGCAACCAGATTCTGAGACCCAGGCGAAACTGAGCTCTTATCAGAAGCCGAACAGGGCAGGGAAAGCTGGATCTCCTTTCCGTTTTAGGCCCAGAGCAAAATTTCCTTTGAACTTTTCGGACTTTGAACCTTTCGGACACAGTTCACCCTGCCCAGGATCCCGGTCCTTGTACGGCATGGGCTGTGGCTCAGTTAGCAGAGCATCTGCTTGGCACGCAGACGGTCCCAAGTTCAATCCCCGGCATCTCCAGTTAAAAGGACGGGGCAGTCGAAGATGCAAAGACCTCTGCCTGAGACCCTGGAGAGCTGCTGCCAGTCTGAGTCGACAAGACAAGACTGACCCGGATGGGCCGATAGTCCAATTCAGTATAAAGCAGCATTATGTGTTCATGTGTCTACTCTACGGGAGTTATGCTTGCCCTGTAGAAGACCACATTTTATTTGACTGCCTGATTCACACCGCATGTCATGTTTGGAAAACGTTCTGCGCAAGAGGTGACGAGGGAACCACCCTAGACAACAAGAACAAAGGCGGCCCACGTCTCCTCCAAAAGTGGCTGCCCGGCAACTGATTTCCCACCCCCTCCAAATTTATGTCTGTGACAAGGACCCCAAGTGGCATCTAAGTACGCGAGTTTGACATTTCAGACAGGGAACCCTCCAACCCGCGACGAGATCGGGAACCAGCGCTGATCCGGATAGCCCGGGCAAACCCGATCTTGTCAGATCTCGGAAACTAAGCAAGGCTGGCCCTGGCAAGTGTTTGGAAGGGCGATCTCTAAGGAATACCAGAGGTGGGACGCAGAGGAAGGCTAACCAAAGCCATCAGTCTGAAAAATGTCCAAGCCAGAAGTCAACCATGACTTTCAGGAAAGCACACAAAAAGACACATAGATGCACACACATGCAAACACACACACAAACACACACACAAACACACAAGAGAGAGATTGGGAACCTGAGGATTCTATCTGCTCTCGTTCTCTAGGGCTGGCAAATTATTTCCTCACATTTTATATCTTCACAAACTATATCCCCCGGGGGTCCCAACCAGTGTTCCCTCTAAGCTGAGTTCATGTGAGCTTGCCCACAGTTTTTTAGCTTCTGGCTCACACACTTTTGCCTTAGCTCAGGAAGGGATGGCACCAGAGAAAACTGATTTATGCAGCAGCTAAGTCACCTGCTCACAACTTTAATGCCGGTCGCTCAGAAAGTAGCATTTTTGCTCACAGGACCCCACAGCTTAGAGGGAAGAGCTGTGGAGGCTTGTGAGCAAAAATGCTATTTTGTGAGCTACTGGCATTAAAGCTGTGAGCGAGCGATTTGGCTACTGCATAAATCAGTTTGCTCTGGAGCCATCCTTCCTGAGCTGAGACAAAAATGTGTGAGCCAGAGACTAAAAACTGTGAGCTGGCTCACACTAACTCAGCTTAGAGGGAACACTGGTCCCAACCTTTTTATTTATTTATGTATTTATTTTTCGCATTTATACCCCGCCCTCCCCGATGGGCACCTTTGGAATTCTGAGATAGAATGGTGGGTACAACCACAAAATGGCTGCTGCAGTAGGCGGAGCCAGCTACACAACGCCTATCATGACTTCCCTCCAGTCGCACAGTGGAGCCCCTTGGTGCTGTGGTGGCAGCCGCTGCCGAAGCAGCTTTAAAAAAAAAAAAATCCACACCGCCAATCAAATCTCCGACGGCCAATCAGGAGCCTCACTGGGCAAAAGCTCCACTTGGCCCTGCCCACTTTCTAAAAACACTTAGTGGGCACCAGGAAAGGTGTCGGCAGGCATTGTGGTGCCCACAGGCACCGCATTGGGGACCCCCTGGTTTAAACCATGATGACATCAGCAAAGGCACCTACAACGGCAACACACCCATATTCAGGCACCCCACCATTCAGTCAGCCGGGGTGGGGTGGGGAATACCTGTTCTCCGTTCTCTCGCTTTATTTCCTGAATCTGCACCCTTAACGACTGATTCTCCTCTTGTATAGCCTACGAGAAAAGGACGACACGTTAGACACGGCTGCTCCGTTTGTAACGCTCGGTTCCCCCCACCCCGCGGCCGCCGTCATTCACCTGCAACTCTTTCCGTTGCTGAGCCATCTCTTCCCCCCTCTCGTCCAGCAAGGCCTCCATTTTGTGTATTTCCCCTTCCTTCCCTTTCAACCTGAGGACAAAGTTCGGGAGTTATTCACATATGTTATTTTGGCAGGTACAGGTCAGATCTGCGGTTTTATGACAGACAAAACCTTAGTTTCCTTGCGTAGCTGGTTTGTGGAAGATACAGAGCTGTGTGCTTCAGATAAGGAGGAACTGATTGAAAAACACAACGTGGACTGAGGGAAAAGCCCCCTCCAGAGGACAGTACAGTGTCCTCTGGTTTTGTAGCCTGGATTTATTACCATTATTGTTGTATTTGTAAAGGTAAAGGTCTCCCTTGCTCAAAAGCCAGTCGAGTCCGACTCTAGGGTTGCGGTGCTCATCTCCGTTTCCAAGCCGAAGAGCCAGCGCTGTCCGAAGACGTTTCCGTGGTCATGTGGCCGGCATGACCAAACACCAAGGCGCACGGAACGCTGTTTCCTTCCCACCAAAGTGGTACCTACTTATCTACTTGCAATTTCTTGCTTTCAAACTGCTAGGTTGGCAGGAGCTGGGACTAGAGATGGGAGCTCACTCCGTCATGCAGCACACTCGGGTCTCGAACTGCTGAAACTACCGACCTTCCACAGCCTGCAGTTCAGTATCTTAACCACTTGAGCCACCGCAGCTCCCGCAGTTGTATTTGTATATTTGCATTATTTATATTATTCAGAGTTCCCCTTTCTCACTGAGACTCAAACTAGATTACACAGAGCCAGTCAATGCACTCAACAAGATGGGACGTCCAATAAATATACGGCCAGGGACCAAGATATCTAAGGGGACCGCCTCTTCCCATATATGCCTCAACTAGTGTTACGCTCAAAAGATCGACAACTCCTGGTGGTCCCTGGCCCGAGGGACGTCCGTCTTGCATGACCAGGGCCAGGGCTTTCTCCGTCCTGGCCCCAGCCTGGTGGGACAGGCTCCCTATTGAGATCAGGGCCCTGCGGGATCTCCTTCAATTCCACAAGGCCTGCAAGACGGAGCTCTTCCGCCAGGCCTTTTGCTGAGGCGGCGGGGGCCCAACGATGGCCTCCCCAAGGTTGCTGCCACCCGTCTCCTGACCACCGAAAACTGGCCTTTAACCCACTGTACCATCGGGCCAGAATTTCATAGCCAACTTATGCTCTTCCAAGCTGTACCCATTGTTTTAATTGTTATAATGGCTTATTGTGTTTTAAAGTTCAATGTTTTAAACTTGAAATTGTATTTAGTTCAATTATGTTACCCACCCTGAGCCCGCCCACTGGATGGGCGGGATATAAATGCAAATAATAAAAGAAGAAGAAGAGGAGGAGGAGGAGATTGGATTTATACCCCGCCCTTCACTACCCAAGGGAGTCTCAGAGGGGCTTACAATCTCCTTTCCCTTCCCCTCCACCCTGAGCCCGCCCGCTGGATGGGCAGGATATAAATGCAAATAATAAAAGAAGAAGAAGAATTAGAAGAGGAGGAGGAGGAGGAGGAGATTGGATTTATACCCCGCCCTTCACTACCCAAGGGAGTCTCAGAGGGGCTTACAATCTCCTTTCCCTTCCCCTCCACCCTGAGCCCGCCCGCTGGATGGGCAGGATATAAATGCAAATAATAAAAGAAGAAGAAGAGGAGGAGGCGGAGATTGGATTTATACCCCGCCCTTCACTACCCGATGGAGTCTCAGAGTGGCTTACAAACTCCTTTTCCTTCCCCTCCCCACAAGGAGGAGGAGGAGGAGGAGGAGGAGGAGGAGGAGATTGGATTTATACCCCACCCCTCACTACCCAAGGGAGTCTCAGAGCAGCTTACAAACTCCTTTCCCTTCCCCTCCCCACAACAGACACCTTATCAGAACTCTTAGCGTGTGTGACCGCAGCCATGACCTGCCTAAGTTCACAGAATCAGCACTGCTGTCAGATGGCCATCCAGCCTCTGCTTGAAAACCTCCAAAGAAAGAGAACCCACCACCTCCCGATGAAGCCTGTTCCACTGAGAAACCCCTTTAACTGTTAGGAAGTTCCTCCTAATGTTTAGCCGAAAACTCTTCTGATTTAATTGCAACCCGTTGATTCTGGTCCGACCTTCTGGGGCAACAGAAAACAACGCCGCACCGTCCTCTATAGGACAGCCCTTCAAGAACTTGGGCCTGTCACAAATCCTCAGCCTGACCTTAGGGAACGATGTAAAAAGCCGCTTTGGGTCCCCGGTCAAGGAGAAAAGGGGGCTATAAATAATAAGTAAGCAGTAAGAAGTAAGTCCCGGGGAGTCCCTCAGTGCAGCTTTATATATGAGTTCTAGATCCTTTTCTTTTTGCAAAATATATTCAGGAGGGCTTTTCTACTCAGGAAATAGGGCAGCACGGTACAAAAGGTTTCACAAGGTTACTTGGATAAATTATTGGAGAGTGTGGTCTGTACTGCTGTGTACAGTTTGCCGTGGGCTGGATCCTATTGTGTAATTTTGCATCATTTGATTGTGGCGTGTTAAGACTGACGCTTTGCTTCAGTTTGTTTTTCTTAGACTTCTGGCTGGTTCTGCAACCCAAATCCTATTTCAGTGTTGGTTTATTGTTTGGTGTGGTGGTTAAGTGTGGGGACTCTAATCTGGGAGAGCCGGGTTTGATTCCCCACTCCTCCTCCACATGCAGTCAGCTGGGTGACCTTGGGTCAGTTACAAGTTCTCTCAGAGCTGTCACAAGTTCTCTCAAGGGCAGTCCTCGAAAGAGCTCTCTCGGCCCCACCTACCTCACAGGGTGTCTGCTGTGGGAAGGGGAAGGGAAAGGAATTTGTAAGCTGCTCTGAGACTCCAAGTGAAGGCCGGGGTATAAATCCAATCTCTTCTTCTTCTCTGAATCCCAGGGCTAGGAGGCAGCAACAGGGGAAGGCCTCAGCCTCTTTGCCCTGTTGCTGGCCCTCCAGAGGAACTGGATGGCCACTGTGTGAGACAGGATGACAGACTAGATGGACCACTGATCTGATCCAGCAGGGCTCTTCTGATGTTCTTAATCTAAGGAGTCTGTAGCTTCGCTCCTTAAATTTTCTTCCCTGTCTGCAGCATGGAGTACACTCGCAGCTGCTGGATGACCTTGGGCAAGCCATAGTTCTGGCACAGCTGTTCTTGAAAAAGAGCCGTTTCTGTCAGAGCTCTCTCATCTTCACCTGCCTCGCAGGGTGTCTGTTGTGGGGAGGGGAAGGGAAAGGAGTTTGTGAGCCCCTCTGAGACTCCCTTGGGTAGTGAAGGGCGGGGTGTAAATCCAATCTCTTCTTCTTCTTCTAAATAATCCACTTTCAATCCACTTTCAATGCACTTCCCAACTGGATTTTGGCAGTTCACACAGTAAAAAAATCCAGTTTGAAAGTGGACTGAAAGTGGATTGTTTAGTGTGTGTGGCCGCCGCCCATGAGACGGAGGGCAGGGAGGGCTGCAACAGCGCTTTGTTCTAGAACCTCTATACAGTGAGGGGGGTGTCCAGAGGCACCTCCCCGGGGAGGCTGTTCCGTAACTGTGGGGCAGCCGTCTGCAGGTCATGCAGAATCATGCTTTACCTACCCGCAGTGCATAGTAATTAGCTTCAAACTACGGGCTCAGATACTAGTTCGTCAGGCCCTAATTTCCCATGGTTGGTGGACTGGCCTGCCTTTGGGTTCTCTGTAGTCAGTTTTCAGGGCTCTTTTTGTAGAAAAAGCCCAGCAGGAACTCATTAACATAATAGGCCACACCTCGAAGCAGGAACTCATTAGCATATTGGGCCATACCCCTGACAGCACAGCTCATTAGCACATTAGGCCACACCCCCATGTTACCAGAAGTGTGCTCATCCAGCCACACCCACCTTTCCCTTCTTATTCTGTTTACCTTGTCTGTTGTCAAAACCCAGGGCTCTTTTTGTAGCAGGGACTCCTTTGCATGTTAGGCCACACACCCCTAATGTAGCCAATCCTCATGAGTTTCTGCTGTTGGGTGTGGCCTGTTATGCTAATGAGTTCCTGCTGGGCGTGGCCAACTCGGGAGCCAGCCGGAACTCCGTTCCTGTGCGTTCCTGCCCAAAAATAGCCCTGGTTAATCAATTGACGTTTTCTGAGTGGCGTCTCAACTGAGCCACTGTGGGCCGGGCCCCTTTCCAGCACCTGTTTCTGCCAGCACCAGAAGCCGTCCTAGCCAACGAGAGCCAACCCAAGGCCCTCTCGCTCTGTCCCACTCCCCACACACGCACACCGCCGAAGAGAACCCAGCACGGCGTCAAGGCGGGAGAGGCGCCACTCGGCTTACTTACAGGGCTTCCAAGTCCTGGTGGGCTGATGCCGCAGAAGCCTAAGAGAGAAGAAGAGGCATTTGCTTTCACGACGGCAACTCGGCTAAAACGCTCAAACAGCAAACAAGGGTAAAGGGAAACCATCGGCCCCGCAGCCAGAAATTTCCGGCTGGTGGGGCAGGGACCCTGGGGCAGGGGAGCGGGGAACTTATTAAGTGGGGAAAGAGAGAGAAAGAAGGAGAAGGAGAAGAAGGAGAAGGAGAGGAGGAGGAGGGAGAAGAAGAAGAACAAGAGGAGGAGGAGGAGGAGAAGAGGGGGAGGAGGAGGAGGAGGAGGAGGAGGGAGAAGAAGATGAACAAGAGGAGGAAGAGGAGGAGGAGGAGGAGAAGAGGGGGAGGAGGAGGAGGAGGAGGAGGAGGGAGAAGAAGATGAACAAGAGGAGGAAGAGGAGGAGGAGGAGGAGAAGA